GGAGCAATGTCTAGACACGACTCAGTGCGTCAAGGTATCACCCAGGGTCCCCGGCCCTCCCAGCCTGTCGTACTACAACTCGTCATCCCCCACCCAGGTGAGATATTTTCATCGATTTTTCATCGATTTTTCATCGATTTTTCCGACCGATCACAGTGTCAAGATCCCTCCAATTCGTATTGCTCGGAGTTCTGTGGATTTGAATGTACGAACACTGCCTTTGACATACCACCCACGGCCGACGGTGGATTCTGCTACACGGCACGGTACGACAATTGTACCGCATTGAAGGGAACCATCAGCACGAACACGAAGGCGTGCTACCTCAATCTACAACGACCGGACTGCGAGACCGCCGGCTACCTCTTTGTGCAGCAGAACGTGTGCGGGGCTCTATCTACAACGAACCAGTGTTTCGCCTGCCACACAGGCCACGCTTCCTGCTCCAACATCTCTTATTTCTACGCCGGCTGCAACGTCACTCGTAAGGCTTGTCCAGATCAGAACAGTTGCCTCAACTCGGGCGGTTACTGTGTCGGACAAGAGCAGATGCTCGCTTGGAGCCCCACCTTCAAGGGAAGAGAATTCGGTGTCTGTGTCGTACCGAAGATTTCGGCCGTTGAACTAGGAGTCATCGCGGTGAGTTTCATAGAAAAGAAGAGATGGTGACATGCGGGCAGTCTTGCGATTTTTCGAGGGGACAATTTACCAGCGGAGACTCTTGCTTCGACTACAATTATGACATGGCGGGTTGTAGAGCGGTGGGAGGTAATTGGACATTACCTGCCACCGACGCGGCCACCTGTCAGGCGAGGATGGCATGTCAAGAGCTACTGCCGAACTCTCAGTATCGATCCACGCTGGCCAACTTATTTATCCGCGGATTTTCACCGAAATCTCTGGCAGACTGTGTCAGCATCTACAACGAGCAAGTGACGTCACCCAAGTGGACGAACGTGTACACGTGGAGGGCGGCCAAATGGGTCACCCCGAGTGCGAGACGTGCGCAGTGGAGACAACAGAAGGCCATCATCAGACAGAGAGTCACCAAAGGATTCACCGTAGATCAGTTGCTCATCACACTGGCGTGAGTCCTCCTCCATCATCATCATCGTCCATCATCATCATCATCATCGATCATCATGTCCATCGTGATGTGATGACTTATTCTCTCAGCTCCGCGGGAAGCTTCAAGAAACAGATCACTACCTTCTCCGAGTTACAGTGCAGATTCGATCCCACCATCCAGATCTTAGATTACGTCTGCTGTGGTTGTTTCGGTGGCACGGGTGGTTGCTCTGGACTACAAGAGATCGCCTCTTCTTCCAATCGAATCTGCAACAAGTCCCCATACACTGTCATGCCCATCCCACAGGGTGTTGCCATCACGACCAACTACACTTCGGTCATCGACGTGAGATTCCGTCGAAATTTCATCGATTGACACGCGTCAGCCGACTTGTAGTGCCGTGCAATTGTTTGCGTACAGCGAGGGAAATTTCAGGGTGACACAGCAGGTCTCCCTGGCTGATTCTCTCGTGAAGATCGCTCAGTACAATCCATTCGATATCACGAACGAGAAGGGCGCTACCATAGGAACCCTGTTATCAAACGGTATCACGGTATTGACTGACGTGCGGTTCACTCACTACAACGTCTGCTTCCCCCTCGATTCTTCCGTCAGGGTGAGTCTCGATTCGATTTTATTCGATTTTATTCGATTTTAATTCGATTTTAATTCGATTTTAATTCGGACCAGTCGGCACCGAAGGGTTACATTGAAGATCTGGCCACCGTTGTAGATGGATCACTTGTTCCATTGAACATGCCATACTTTCAAGATGCTATCAACGGTATCTGCTTCACAGTCGTCACACCACAGAAGAACGCCTCTTGGTTCTACGTCTCACACGTACCTCTCTGGCAGGATGTAGATCGAGTCCTCTATCCTTATTCGACTCGAGTCTTGCTCTACACTCTGGCCACACTCTTCTTGGTGGCTGCCCTCCTGTGCATCATGGCCGGTGTCTCTTTCTTCTTTATCGATCGTCAGACGAAGCTCAAGGCTCAATCTTACGCGACAGTCGCCTTCACCCTCTTATTTACAGCCAGTGAGTCTCTCTATCTTTTGTGTTTTATTTCATTTAAAATCGAACTATTTCGTGTTTATTTATGAATGAGACTGACGCGTTGTATAGCGAGGTGTGCTTATTTCTACATCCTCCCCGGTGGCATCACATCGAACGCCGTGGATTACGTCTTGATTGTTCTACCCACCTTCTTCTACTTCTCCTCTGTCGTTCAACTGGTCTCCACATGGATCGCCCTCGCAACCATGTCCATCAGTAAACTCAACCGACAAAAGTACACAAACAGGTGAGCGTCATCAGCATCACTGCGTCATCACCATCACCGACACCATCTGATGGAGGAAGGTCTACGAACATCGGAGCTCTCATCTTCCACGTTCTCCTCTACATTGTCTTTCTCATCATTGTCCTCCTCTTCCAATTCAATCCACCCACCATCACCCCCAACTGTGGTCGAAGTGTTGTCTATCCGGTGGATAGCTCAGTGCAGAGGAACCTCTCTCTCGCCTACGCCGTCATCATTGCCATCACATCGGTCGCCATCGGTGTCTTCTTCCTCGTCTTTGGGCTCCAGACCATCCGTAAATTCACCGGAGCCGCCGGAGGCAAAGTCAAGAAGGTGATGTTTCATCGTCATCTCGATGATGTCTCTACTCACGCCGAAACAGGTGACGGTGACGACGTTTGTCTATACTGTGGCTTTCATTCTTCACTGTGGTTACATCTTTATTCTCATCTTTGCCAATCCCCCCATCATCGTGATCTTCATCGGCTTCATCTTGACCGAAGTCATTCCCGCCATTTTCCTTGCCGTCAACCAGATCCAACACAGAGAGGTTCTGGCAGCCGTGAGATCCAAGACGAGCAGGAGGTCCAAGATGAGTGCCATGGGCAGCAGCAAGAGGAACAGGAGCGAGAAGGTGAGAGGACGAAGGGATAAGAGAGGACACGAACTGATGGATGTGCAGCATCTGATGGGAACTCCTTCGATCTCTCTGGGGACCTCTGGTGAATCATCATCAGCACCCACGAACGAGCTGGAACTCGCCACAGCAGAGCCCGCCGCAGAGACAACAGAAGCAACCCCCGAAGTAGAAACGACAGAGTCCACATCAGAAGAGGCCCAACCTTGAGAAATTTTGAATCAAAGACTGTATAAAACGAAACGATATCGTCACGTGTGTGATGTCTGGGATCTATAGACATCGACAGGGTGTCAGTTGTGAGGTCAAGGGTTGTGGAAGTGTCAAGGGTCAAGTTTGTAGAGGAAGTGTCTACATTCTAGAGATCGGAGAGTGACTGTCTGCCGTTTGTCGACATGGACAGCCGATGCGTCACAGTCAAACATCCTCCATCTGAAACTAAGGTAGGTGGTCCCATGAAGAGGGGAGTTGAAACTGATGGGAGATAGATTATCATGTCGAAGCCAAACATTCTCGTTCTGGGAGGTCTGGGATTCATTGGTCGCAATCTGGTGGCATACCTCGTAAAGAATGACCTCGCCGGTCACATTCGAGTTGCAGACAAGGGTCTCCCCGCTCTCGTCAGCATGAACGAGGAGCACACAGCCATCTTTGAGAAGATCGACTTCAAGCAGGCCAACTTGGCCAGAGAGGGTGAGTCCGAACTTCTTATCTCCCTCATACATCTGCATTCCAACACCCTCCTCTTGCGTGAATGTAACGAATCGACAGCTTCCGTGAACAAAGTCTTTGACGACGGAGATTACAAGTGGAACCTTGTCTTCAACTGTGCTGGAGAGACAAAATACAGCCAGACCGAGGAGGTCTACAAGGAGAACATCATCGATGTCTCTAAGACGACGGCCAAGGCCGCCGCCAGCCGAAACATCGGTCGCTTCATCGAGCTCTCCACCGCTCAGGTCTACGATGCCGGAAAGGTAAATGTCTGACTCATTTCACCATCCGTGGAACCATATCTGACGCGGCACTTATAGAAGGCATCCGCCGAGGAGGACAAGGTGAAGCCATGGACAAAGTTGGCCAAAGCCAAGCTCCAGGCTGAAGAAGAGATCAAGAACATCGCAGGGTGATTCCAAATGATCCGTTTCGTTTCATCTGACATCTCTCAGTCTCAGCTACATCATCGTCCGTCCCGCCAATGTCTACGGACCCGGTGACATCACCAGCATCAGTGAGCCATCCTCTTCATCTTCCATCATCTGATCGAATGCAGCACCCCGTCTCATCATCGCCGCCGTCTACAAGAACCTCGGCGAGAAGATGGAGTTTCTCTGGGACAAGGAGCTCAAGATCAACACCGTTCACATCACAGACGTCGTCGCTGCTCTGTGGCATCTCTCTCAGAAGGGTGAGCCAGCTCATGCGACACCGTTTTTGCTGACTCGAAATCCAGGTCAAGTGGGTCAGACTTACAACCTCGCCGACACCAATGAGACGGATCAAGGCAGCGTGAACAAGCTGTTGGAGGTTATTTTTGGCATCAAGACCGACTTCATGGGCAACATCAAGTCGAAGCTGGCCACAGCCGTTGCCATGAAAACCGTCGCCGATACCGCAAACTCGAACCATCTCGGCCCGTGGAGCACCCTCTGCAAGGTGAGACGTCGCACTACAACGAGCCAATCTGACTTTGAGGCAGGAGCAAGGCATCACCAACACACCCCTGACTCCTTATCTGGACGAGGAGCTGCTGTACAGCAACTCCCTCTCTGTAGATGGAACAAAGATCACGGCCACTGGTTTCACTTACCAGCACCCCAAGATGTCCGAGCAGGACCTGAGAGAGGTTCTCGCCTATTTCCAAAACCTGGGTTACTTCCCCAAAAAGTTTTAACTGTTGAAATCAATACACTCTACTTGTTCTACTTGTGTGTTCTACTGCAAGTGATGGAGGTCATTGGATGAGATGGTGTGAGGGATAAAAAGGTGTCTCTGGTGGGATTCGAACCCACATACTGCGGATAGACGGATTTTCAATGGGTCCGAAGACCGATTAGGAAAGAGTTGCACGCTCTACCATTGAGCTACAGAGACACCCAACTTGGATCATCACTGCCATTGTTTCAGACATGATAAAAATCATTTATAGACAAATCGAGTCACTGATGGATCGCGTGTGACGTACAATACTCGCAAGAATGAAGATAAGGGCAATAGCCGCTCGTTTCTCAGCAACGGTCAGTACGTATAGCTCTCTTCAAAACGTGTGAGGAACACACTACAAGGCATCCCTATATATAGTCCTGTTCCACGATAGTGCTCTGAAGAAAGAATGAAACGAATCGAAACTACATCGCCTGGCATATCAGTTCTATTCACACCGAGCTGATGAAACGAGGAACCGACAATAACCCACTCAACCTCCGAGGCAGAGGCGTCAATCTAACATCACTCAGACGATGCAGAGCTTCTTTCTCGCAGGATCTACTCAGCTCGCTAGAAGGCAGGTATAGGAAGACTTCCGTTCCCGTTCGTTTCTAGGTCTCTCGTGACTTCTAAAATGCCCGCTGACCGACAGATGTAATACAGCGCACGCGTCACGTCACTTTCTCCCGGAGTTTGAGCGATCTCGCAGGTGCTCGCGGAAGAGTTGAGGGGCCAACGGTTCCATTACTTACTCCAGATTTTGAGTCTGTATTGTGTTGTTCACAGATAAATTGCAATGCAGCCACACCTCTATCGGTTCTATCTGCAGCCACAAGAGCAGCCAAGGGCACCTGTATACAGTGATCGTATATTTTACACCTGGCCCATCTTGGGCAAGCGTCAGTCTACCTCAGAAGAAGATGGGAGGAAGAGGGATCAACGCACTACGCCCCGTCAGGCCGCTGCGTTGAAGGAAATGTTTTCTAAGAAGCCCATGCCGAGTGATGCTGAATATGCCGACTTGGCTGCTCAAGTCGAGATGTCAGAGAAGAGAGTGAGGGTGAGTCAACGATAGTCGATCGACGGTCACTTACAGCGGACAGAATTGGTTTCAAAATAGAAGGTGCAAGATAAGGCGGCTGAAGAACGAGAAAGAGACGGATCAATTGAACGAGAGAAGCCGGGCCCTTTCAGAACACCACCCGAATCCTTTCGCCCACTTCATCAGACCGATCACGGAAACTCCACAGAGAGAATCAATCGTCACAGACACACCGAGCGAGACCAGGAACCCGAAGATGAACCTGGAATACGTTCTGGATAGAAAGGATTCTGTACAATGTACATACGATTTCCCTATACACAAGAACAAGATGCATTTTTGACTATATAAATAATTGAGAGAGAAAGATCTCCTTTTCTGTTTGTGAAACGAATGGTATTTGAGTGGGCAGGGACAGTGAATGATACGAAAGTGCTGTACAATAGAATAAATCGCCGGACGATTTTATTTGGAAATAATGCGGCTTGTATTTTTTCGCAAGATAGCTAGCCAACACGATGATGCTCAGATCCATCATCGTCTTCACCTTCTTCTTCTTGACATACGCTCACATCAACGTATGGCCCCTGCCAGTGTCGTTCACACAGGGAGGCAATACAATCGGGATTGACGCTCAGATTGAGATCTTAGAGGCAGACGATTCAACATTCGACAATGCTACGTTGTTAGGGAGAGTTGTGCACAGATATCAGCACATCCTACGTCATACTCTGTGAGTCACGTCCAGTAAGACTTGACTCTGACCATCAATAGCTGGACCCCTGAATACAGAAACGAAGACAAGTCACAGCCTAACGGAAACATCATAAAGAAGATCTACCTCATCGTCGATAGGCCTCAAGAGTCTCTCGGTGATGTAGATCCTTTGACTCTTCGACTGACATGAGCAGACGCTAAGACGAATGAATCCTACGTGATGGATGTTCCATCCGATCTCGAAGTCATTCGCATTCAGACACCCACCACATTCGGCGCCATGAGAGCTCTCGAGACGTTGAGACAGATGGTAGAACTGCAGGTGACTTCGCAGCGAGTTCCATCATTTTGAATCATGTGCAGGAGGATGGCAGTCGAGTCATCCGTTTCGCACCTCTTCATATCGAAGACGCCCCAGCTTTCTCTCACCGTGGTCTGATGCTGGACACCAGGTGACCGTCCACCATCCATGATCAGACCATCACAAGTGATCGAACATCTGACGGAAGAGCAGCCGCAACTACTTCCCAGTGAAAGATATCTTGAGGACGTTAGATGGTATGTCTATGAACAAGTTGAACGTGTTTCACTGGCACATTGTAGATTCTCAGAGGTGAATGTCAGATGGGGGAGATGATGATGACGGTGATAGTTTTCCTCTGAGATCGAATGCAGTACCAGAATTGGCAGATAAGGGAGCTTACCGAAAGAAGGGTAAGCTTCTCGTCTACAACGAGGATGACGTTCGCACCATCGTTCAATACGGTATCGAGGTGATCATGATCATCGATCACTCATGATCATCGATCACTCATGATCATCGATCACTCATGATCATCGATCACTCATGATCATCGATCACTCATGATCATCGATCACTCATGATCATCGATCACTCATGATCATCGATCACTCATGATCATCGATCACTCATGATCATCGATCACTNGAGAGCTCTCGAGACGTTGAGACAGATGATAGAACTGCAGGTGACTTCGCAGCGAGTTCCATCATTTTGAATCATGTGCAGGATGATGGCAGTCGAGTCATCCGTTTCGCACCTCTTCACATCGAAGACGCCCCAGCCTTCTCTCACCGTGGTCTGATGCTGGACACCAGGTGACTATCCATCCACGATCAGACCGTCACAAGTGATCGAACATCTGACGGAAGAGCAGCCGCAACTACTTCCCAGTGAAAGATATCTTGAGGACGTTAGATGGTATGTCTATGAACAAGTTGAACGTGTTTCACTGGCACATTGTAGATTCTCAGAGGTGAATGTCAGATGGGGGAGATGATGATGACGGTGATAGTTTTCCTCTGAGATCGAATGCAGTACCAGAATTGGCAGATAAGGGAGCTTACCGAAAGAAGGGTAAGCTTCTCGTCTACAACGAGGATGACGTTCGCACCATCGTTCAACACGGTATCGAGGTGATCATTATCATCGATCACTTATGATCATCTTTCACGATCGTTTTATTTCTTCACATCATCATGCTTCATCATCACCATCTCGCATCACCTGAACACTTTCACAGAGAGGAGTTCGAGTCATACCAGAATTAGACATGCCAGGCCACACCCGATCGTGGGCTTGGTCCCACCCAGAGATATCTGTCTGTATCGATTCCGATTGGACCAAGGTAACACCCCCGTCACATCTTCATCCAAGTGATCTATAAATAGAACGCCGCCGAGCCACCAGCCGGTCAGCTTGACCCAATTAATCCGGCCACTTATCAGCTGCTGGACAGACTATTGTCCGACATAGCTCCCTGGTTCGCTGACACGTACTGGCATGCAGGTGAACTTTAAAATCCAAAAATCGAGAAGATGAAAATGTTTTATTCGTGAGGGAAGTACTGAGAGAAGGCGAAGGAGGAGACGAAGTCAAGTTCACCTGCTGGAACGAATCTTCTTCCATTCGCGATTGGATGCAGCAACACAACACACAAGATATGAATCAGCTGGTTCAACTGTTTGCGGCCAAGCTGTACACCATGATCGACAATCAGGGTAAGGTGCCCATATTGTGGGAGGAGATGGTCTTGGACTTTGGCGTGAAGGCTCCATCTGAATCCGTTGTACAAGTGTGGAGGGGTGTCCCTGCCGTCAGCAAGGTCACTTCGAGTGAGACTCTCTTTTCATTCATTTCAATCCACACAACCACAAATGTATAAGTCACGACAATCAAAACTGACGCAACAACAGTGGGATACAAGACAGTCGTATCCAGCAATGACTATTGGTATCTAGACTGCGGTCGTGGTGGTTTCGTCGACGGTGGTAACAGCTGGTGTGATCCTTACAAGTCCTGGCAGGTGATGAAGAGTCTTTTCATCTCCTTCTGAACCTCCCAGACGGTCTACCAATTCGACATTGTCGCCGGTCTCTCTGAAGAACAATCTTCTCTCATCATGGGAGGAGAAGTCTGTCTCTGGGCCGAGCAAGTCGACCCGATCAACTTGGATAGAATCTTGTGGCCTCGATCTGCTGCAGCTGCAGAGGTGAAGAATGAGACGTCTCAGATGATGTGATGAGCTGACGGTGTGTGAAGGTATTGTGGTCAGGAAAAGATAAGAAGGGACAACAGAGAGACGCGAAGGAGGCCATGCCCAGATTCTGGGACATGAGAGAGAGACTCGTGGAAGCAGGCGTGGCAGCCGAGCCCCTGCAGCCCCTCTACTGTGCTTTCAACAACTGCTGGAGTTGAATCCTTTGAATACACAATCCCTATTTCATCTCTGAAACATCTCTATTTCATAGAAGAGACAACTACATAGAGGAGACAACTACATAGAAGATCTCCATCGATAGAGGACAAGTATCTATTCTTCCACACTCCCCTTGGCCGACACCCTCTTTGCATTCTCATTCACTGTTGGGTCCGATCTGTCTATCGTCTTACTCCTCGACCTCCACTCCCTCTTCCTCTCTTCTAATCCCTTCGTCATGAACGACAGCGCGATCTCCGTCTTCGTGTCTTCCACCTTTGCCCTCTGTCTCTCTAATGCCTTCTCTGTCTTCTCTTCAGCTTCTCCCTCTACCATCAGCAGTGACTCACCCTCTTGAAAGTTTTTGATCTCGTCCAACTTTTCTTTTGCGGACCGAAAGTCTGCCACCCACGATGCCGTCTCCAGTGGTGATTCGAAGCAAATCTTAAACTTCATCTCTCCCTTGTTGTTCACGATCTCTGCGTTATTCGTTCGTGCTACACACAGTCAAGGAAATGTTCCAATGCATCTACAATGAAATGTTATATCGTATCTACAATGAACAGAGGGATACAGAAGGTCATCGACTTTCGGTTCGAGGAGGAGAGAGGAGAGTATATGCCTGATCCTCTAGACAATCGATTCCCCGGGGAATTGAAGTTGAAGGAGGGAGAAGAGGAAGTGGGGGA